GAAATATGAATAAAATCAAAATATAACATGAAATTTACAAAAGTTCAAGAAAAGAAAACTCAATAACAAAGGAATCATACTGGGAAAGCTGGATCTCAATGTGTAGAGGAATGAAATTAGACCTATATCTAGTACCTTGCACAAAAATCAAGTTCAATGTACCAAAAAACTCAATGTGAAGCCTAAAAGGCTGAAATTGTTAGAAGAAACCATAGGTAATATTGTTCAAGACATGGGCTCAGGAATGGACTTTCTAAATTGAAATTATTTCCCTCGGGAATTAAGGTCAACAATGGACAAATGGGATGCCATTAAATTAAACAGCTTTTGTATAGCACAGCAAACAAAACATCCAATCAAATGAAGAGGAAGCCTACAGTAATACTCAGAAAATAAAAATAACACCAAAAAATTTCAGGAAAATGCATGACTCAGTTAAAAATTGGGCTGTGGATACGAACAGAGAGTTCTCAAAAGAATAAAAAATGTCTAAATGTGTTCAGCATCATTAGTAATTAGAGAAATTCAAACTAAAACCACTTTAAGACTTCCTCTTCCTCCAGTCAGAATGTCTAAGTTCAAGGAAACAAATGACACCAAATGATGGTGAGGATGTAGGTAACAGGGCACACTCATTCTTTGCTGATGGGATTGCAAACTGGTGTACCCACTATGGAAATCATTGTGTAGAACTTTTAAAAAGCTAAAAATAGATCTATCATATGATCTGGCTATATCACTACTTGTGAATACCCACAGGACTCAATATCCTACAACAAAAATACATAGCTATGTTTGTTGCTGCTGTTTTCACAGTAGCTAAGAAAGTGAATGGAAACACCCTAAATGTCCCTTAGCCAAGGAATGGATAACGAAAATGTGGTACATTTACGTAATAAAGTTCTACTGTTGGTAAAGAAAAATGAAACCATGAAATTTGCAGGTAAATGAATTGAACTAGAAACTACTATACTAAGTGAAGTAACACAGACTCAGAAAACTCCAAATCTTTATATGTGAATATGTATCCTGATGTAAACTCAGGAGTCAGGAAAATGGACAGGAACCATAACGGTAACAGGAAAGAAGGATCTTGAGAGAGGTGCATAGTAGAAGAAACTGTTGTCTAGGGAAAGATGGGAAAAATGAGTGATACTTGAATGGGGAGGGATTAGGGAGGGCTACAAAGGGAGAGTGAGAGCGAGAGTGAAAGAGAGAGAGCGAGAGTGATAGAGAGGGGGAGAAATAATGCTTAGGTGGTGTTGAAATTGCAGTGGGAAATGTATTGGTTCAAAAAGTCTATTGTAAAATACACAGGCCATATATCTCTATCTCTCTCTATCTCTATCGCTATCTCTATATCATTGTTCTATCTATCTATCTATCTATCTATCTATCTATCTATCTATCTATCTATCATCTATCTATCTATCTATCATCATCTATTCTCTCTTTACCTAGCTATATGGATGTGTATAGCTGAATACTCTATAACAAAAATCATAGTGCCAGGCAAGGGGAACCTCCTTTCAATTGGTTGGTCAGGGTAATTCAAGAGACACCCAAAATAAAAGAAGCTATTGCTACAAGCCT